AGAGGTGCTTGCTGCCAAGCCTGATGGCCATAGTTTGACCTTCTAAAACCATGTGGTGATGCCCTCTGACTCCACACGTGCATTGTGATATTTGTGCCTCCCACTAAATAACTAAATGTAATAAAAATAAAAAATAATTGTAAAAAAATAAACTTTTAGGGAGCTTATGAGATGGCTCAGTGGGTAAAGGTACTTGCCATCAAGACAGATGACCTGAGTTTGTTCCCTGGAACCCACATTGTGGAAGGAGAGAATTGATTCCTGCAGGCTTCCCTTTTACCTTGGCATACTCCTTGTGGCATGCATGCATGTGAACATCTCTCTCTCTCTCTGTCTCTTGCACACACACAAACATATACATACACAGAGGCACACACTAGTGAGTAAATAAATGAAAAAAACTAAACTTTTAATTTTAGGAAATTATAGATTCATGTTCAGTCTTAACCAATACTAAGTGGCTCCATGCTCTCTTGACTTAATTTTCTCCCAAAGTAACATTTAATATATATTTAATATATGTGTATGTATATTGCATATTGAGGTCAGGCTATTATCTCCTTTGGTCTCACAGAGCCATGCTCACTTTTCTCCTGACATTGTTACTATTCAGGTCTCCATTTCGGTAACTTTTCATATTAACAAATATATTTACATATACATATATATGTGTGTGTGTATGTTTATAATTAAAAGTATAGATGTATGTATGTAATTATATAGGATGCAATCTTTGGATATTTTTTTATTTTTCATAATTACCTGAAGATTCATTTAAGCTACTGTATGTATTAATAGATCATTGCTTTTTATTGTTGAGTATTGTTCCATGGTATGTATATATGGTATGTTTTATGTGTACATGCACACACACACAAACACACATATCACATTTTATGATGGTCTACTTGTTGAAGGACATGCTTCAGCTATCAATTTCTCCAAAGATTTGAGTACATGCTCATAATTACCATCACCTGCCAGGACCAGCGCTTACAGACACCCATGTACTTCTTCCTCAGCAGTTTCTCCTTTGTGGAGTGTTGTTTTATCACTACCGTTATCCCCCAGCTGCTAGCCATCTTTCTTTCAGGGAGGCAAAGGATTTCCTTTGTAGCCTGCTTCACACAAGCCTTTGTCTTTCTTTTCCTGGGGGCAACGGTGTTTTTCCTTCTGGCTGTGTTGTCCCTGGACCGGTATCTGGCCATCTGCAAACCTCTGCATTATCCCACCATCATGAGCCCAAGGATGTGCTTCTTTCTCGTTGCTGTCTGTTTAGTTCTGGGGTTCCTCTTCATGGCCGTTCCAGTTGCAATGCTTTCCCAGTCATTTTACTGTGGCCCCAATGTTATTCCTCACTTTTTCTGTGATTTTGGACCACTGGCAAATCTCTCCTGTTCAGAAACCAGGTCTATCGAAATGCTGTTTTTTAATCTTGCTTTAATTGTGCTTTTTGCAACCCTTTTTATAGCCATCTTTGCATACAGCAATATAGTCGTCACGATCGTGCGTCTCCCATCAGCCAGGGAGCGACAGAAAGCTTTCTCCACCTGTTCCTCCCACCTCATCGTCCTCTCGCTGATGTTCGGCAGCTGTGTGTTCATATACGTGAAACCGAAGCAGTCAAGCAGGCTGGACACCAACAGAGAGGCTGCTCTCGTGAACACGGTGGTGACGCCGCTCCTGAACCCTGTCATCTACACCCTGCGCAACAAGCAGGTCCACCAGGCTCTGAGGGATGCACTGTCCAGGGTCATACTGCACAGATAACATAGGAAGA